GCTCATCACCTGTTTGGGTATCAGCCAGCACGTCAACGACTTAAATCAAGAAATAGTTTTCTAAGATCTACAGAGACACTCGCTGGAACACCTCAGCAAGCGAGAGTCCAAAAGTGGCAGGCTCAAACCCAGAACTGATACCAAATGAGAGACTCCCCCCTGGGCACACAAAAGATGGGGCAACTTGGAAGGCGCTGAACAGACTGCGCTCTGGCACCACGAGATGCAGAGCCCACCTCAAGAAATGGGGCCACAAAGTGGAATCCATGACATGCGAATGCAGAGAAAAGCAAACCACTGACCACCTGCTGCATTGCAGCCCGATCCCTGCCACATGATGCACAAGGGAGGACCTCCTTGCGGCAACACCAGAGGCACTCCAAGGGGCCAGATACTGGTCAAAGGACATTTAATCAACTACCAAGCTTGCAAATTTTGTGTTCTGTTTGTTTGTTTTGTTCTGTTAGAAATGTAATACAATGGTACGGTTGCTGATGACACGATAAATAAATAAATAAATAAATCTGTTGATAAGCTGTCCTCCACCCTTTCCTCATCGCTGTCAGGTGCTCTAGCCTCCACAGCTGATCGCCAACACCCCTCTCACCAGCTTTTCCATCTCTTATCATGACTTGGGTCTCCCCATGTATCACTAGTCCCCAGAAAATCCTTCAAAAGTATCGCTGGACATAGGTTGTGTACACACACCTCTCACTTCTTGCACATGAGTCCAATCCAACCCATCCTCCTCCTCGGCACTACTCCCAGACCCATCACTTCCAGTGAATCCCATAAAATCTTCTTCAGTTGGAGCAGTAAGTATATCACGGATCCGTTTCCTCTGACACTCCTCATCAGGCTCCTGCTCCCGAGTAATCAGTTTTACACCCCTGCTTTCATCTCCTTCCTCCTCCATTTCTTCTTCTGAGAAACCCTCAAATGAGTCCTCGTCTGTAGGAGACATGAATATCTCCCTAACTCTCTTTCTTTGTTGTTCCTCATCCAAACCTTGAGCACCTCTCTTTCCACCTCTGCTACTCCTCTCATCAGTAGTAACGGTACTAGGAGACTCAACTACAACAGATGTATTGTATTGTTTGGCTTGGCCTCATGTAAGTGGCCCGAGTCCCCTTGGGAAGATGGTGGCGGGGTATAAATAAAGTTTATTATTATTATTATTATTATTATTATTATTATTATTAATTATGATAGTCTGTTGCAAACATGACTTCAGAGGAACTGCGAAACTTGGGGGTTCTAACTAGCCACCAGCTAGATGGTTTTGTCCGGATGTACTGTTATCCTTGAATAGTAACTTCTTCTCTGGAGCACTGATTTCTCAAACAACCAGCATTTTTGTAGTGCAGAAATAGGTCAATCTGGCAGTAAATCATGATCTATAGGCATTGGGAACATCTCTGAAAATTCCCTTTTTAAAACCACGTCCCCGCTAGGTCTCTTCCAACTCTAGGATGCTATGATATCCCAATTCAAAGCAGATATTGTGGGTTATCTACCTTAATATTCTGGAACCCCTTCCACACAGCCATATAATCCAGAATAAAAATCCCACAATATCTCCTTTGAACTGGATTATATGGCGAGAAGCTCGGCCTGTCATTAAAGATCGAGAAAACCAAAGTGCTCTTTCAGCAGTCACCGGACTATTTATTTAAAACATTTATATTTCGCCCGTCTCACCCCAAAGGGGATTCAGGGCGGAGCACAGCATATATACGGCAAACATTTAATGCCAATCCCTCTCCAATGCCAGCTTAATGGTGTAACATTAGAAAATGTTGACCATTTCCGCTCCCTTGGCAGCCACCTCTCCACCAAAGTCAACATTGATACTGAAATACAACACCACCTGAGCTCTGTGAGTGCAGCTTTTTTCCAAATGAAGCTGAGAGTGTTTGAGGACTGGGGCATCCGTAAGGAGACCAAGGTGCTTGTTTATACAGCTATTGTCCTCCCAACCCTGCTATACACCTGCGAAATGTGGACTGTCTACAGACGTTAACATTGAGGCTGAAATACAACATGGCCTGAGCTATGCGAATGCAGCATTTTTCCGAATGAAGCTGAGAGTGTTTGAGGACCACGACATCCATAGGGATACCAAGGGGCTTGTTTATAAAGCTATTGTCCTCCCAACCCTGCTATACACCTGCGAGACATGGACTGTCTACAGACGTCACATGCTACTCCTGGAACGATTCCATCAGCACTGCCTCTGAGAAATCCTGCAAATCTCTTGGGAAGACAAGTGGACAAACGTCAGCGTGCTGGAAGAAGAAGAAAAGACCACCAGCATTGAAGCGATGGTCCTCCGCCATCAACTCCGCTGGACCGGCCACCTTGTCTGGATGCCTGACCACCATTTCCCAAAGCAGTTGCTCTACTCCGAACTCAAGGGTGGAATATGGAATGTTGTTGGGCAGGAAAAGAGATTCAAAGATGGGCTCAAAGCCAACCTTAAAAACTGGCATAGATACTGAGAACTGGGAAGCCCTGGCCCTTGAGTGCTCCAGCTGGAGGTCAGCTGTGACCAGCAGTGCTGCAGAATTTGAAGAGGCATGAATGGAGGGTGAAAGAGAGAAACGTGCCAGGAGGAAGGCGCGTCAAGCCAACCCCGACCGGGTCCGCATTCCACCTGGAAACCAATGCCCTCACTGTGGGAGAAGATGCAGAGCAGGGAAGAGGGCTCAACAGCCACCTACAGATCCACCCTGGAGGATTATCCTACTCAGACAACGAGGGATCATCTAAGTAAATAAGATGGCAGTGTGGACTCAGATATCCCAGTTCAAAGCAGATATTGTGGGTTACCTGCCTTGATATTCTGGGACTCCTTCCACACAGCCCTATAACCCAGAATAACAACATCTGCTTTGAACTGGGTTACTCGAGTCCCCACTCCAATACATTCTAGTTCAAAGCAGATAATGTGGGATTTTCCTCAGCTGTGTGAAAGCAGCCTGGTTATCTGAGTCCCAGTTCAAAGCAGATGGATGTGGGATCTTATTCAGCTGTGTGGAAGGGGCATGAGTGGAAGGGCCCTCAGTTTCCAACTCTCCCCATCTCAAAACTAAGCTCCTCAGAGGCCTAGCAGTTTCAAAGTCTGGCTTCTTACTGCCTGGGGAAATCCTTTATTTTTAAAAAAACCTCCAAAATCATAACACGTTGGCAGTCTTTAGGAAGAACTTGAAGACCTGGCTATTCCGAAGTGCCTTTCCGGAATAGGATAACCCCCAGCACTACGTCCCAGAAGCACTTTAGTAGAGTTTAAGACTCTTTGCACATTGCACCTGCCCAGAAATCCAACATACCACCTGCCACACCCAGCACCTTTTTAACCTGTACCCATCACTGGCCCGGCCCTGGTTTTATTGCGTAATGGTGTAATGTTTTGTTATTGCTTATGTTTTAATTTGCTTTAAATTGTATTGTTGTTGCTATGCTGTTGTTGTGTTGAGGCCTTGGCCTTTGTAAGCCGCATCGAGTCCTGCGGGAGATGCTAGCGGGCTACAAATAAAGTTTAATAATAATAATAATAATAATAATAAATAAAGAACAACAATCAAAAGCAGGAGAACTCCAGACAAGAAACAATCAGGGGCAGCTAATCACCTTCCAACAAAGGATTCCCCCAGGCAGCATGAAGCCAGGCTTTGAAACTGCTATGCCATTCAATGCTAATCAAGGTGGCCAGTTGTATCATTTCCTCAAACAGGGAAGAGTTCTTTGTTTCTCCCACCCGGGACATCATTCTTTGGAAGCTTTGAAACAGGGGCTGGCTGGCCATCTGTCGGGGGTGATTTGAAGGCAATATTTCTGCTTCTTGGCAGAAAGGGGTTGCACTGGATGATGGCCCAGGAGGACTCTTCCAACTCTAGGATTCTATAAGAAACAATCAGGGCCAGCTAATCACCTTCCAACAAAGGATTCTCCCAGGCAGTATGAAGCCAGGCTTTGAAACTGCTATGCCATTCAATGCTAGTCAAGGTGGCCAATTGTATCATTTCCTCAAACAGGGAAGAGTTCTTTCTTCCTCCCACCCGGGACATCATTCCACAGATATAGAAACCCCTTTTCTTAAGTGTCCACAGGCCTCACAACCTCTGAGGGTGCCTGCCACAGATGCAGGCGAAACGTCAGGAGAGAATGCTTCTGGAAGGTGGCCATACAGCCAGGAAAACCTACGGCCACGCCGTGATTCCGGCCTTTCAGGAAAGCCTTCGACGGCCCAGCTGCGTTTCCTAGCAACTCCAATTACCTTTCAAAATGGCGGAGGGAAGGAGGAGGAGGAGGAGGGCGGGGTCACGTGACCTGAGGGAGCCTCGGCTTTCCTCCCCTCCCGCCCCTTTCGCGTGACGTCGACCAATCAGAACGCGCGCTCTTCGGAGGAAAAGGCCTCTCCCTGCGCATGCGCGGCTGTGTTAGAAGCCTGTGGGGCGAGGAAGGGAGGCAGGCGGGAGGGAGTTGTGTTGCGCATGCGCGTCGAGCGGGAACGGGCGGGGGTCACGTGACCTGGGGGAGCCTCGGCTTTCCTCCCCCCTCCCCTTTCCCGTGACGTCAACCAATCAGAACGCGCGCTCTTCGGAGGAAAAGCCCTCTCCCTGCGCATGCGCGGCTGTGTTAAAAGCCTGTCGGGTGAGGAAGGGAGGCGGGAGGGAGGGGGTCGTGTTGCGCATGCGTGTTGAGCGGGCACGGAAGCCTTGACAGCTGCAAGTGGGAAGAGGAGCGACGCCGGAGCATGCGCGGTGGAGAGAGAGAGGGCGCTGAGAGGAGGAGGGCGGGGTCACGTGACCTGGGGGAGCCTCGGCTTGCTCGTTCTCTTTTCTCCCCCCTCCCCTTTCCCGTGACGTCGACCAATCAGAACGCGCGCTCTTCGGAGGAAAGGGCCTCCCTCAGCGCATGCGCGACTGTGTTAAAAGCCTGTGGGGCGAGGAAGGAAGGCAGGCAGGCAGGCAGGCGGGAGGGAGTCGTGCTGCGCATGCGCGTTGAGCGGGAACGGAAGCCTTGACAGCTCCAAGTGGGAAGAGGAGCGACGCCGGCGCATGCGCGGTGGAGAGAGAGAGAGAGAGCGAGAGAGAGGGCGCTGAGAGGATTCCCCAGTTGTCGCGCCGCCACTTCCAGCGCCGCCTCGGCCTCCTCCTCCTCCTCCTCGAGATCCCCGGCCCCTGCTGAGGGGAGGCAGGAGCCGGCCGGACCGGCGGAGGGAACATGTCCGGGCGCAACTTGAGCGGGAAGCTGTCCACGACGGAGCGCATCGTGAAGGGTGAGCCTGGGGGGCTCCCTCGGGCGGGTGGGGCCACTTCCGCCAGGCCCGGCAGCAGGAGCAGGAGGAGGAGGAGGAGGGAGCGCCTCGCTCGGGCCTCCTTCCCTGGCAGCAGGGGAAGGCCTCGCCGTCGCTATGGAGAAGGACCCTCAAAGGGGGGGAGGGGGGGTTCCCACGCCAGCACCCCCCCCTTCTGAGGAGAAAGAAGGCCCCCAGCACGTTGCCACGGAGGGAGGGGGGGCGCACCGCCCTGAAAGGCCCCCAACATGCCTCACATGGGGCTGGCTGGGGGCTCGCGGGATACAGGCTTCGCTCCATGCACAACACGGGGAGAATGGTACATCCAAATCCCCTTCAGGAGGTTCCGTGTGCCCAGTGTGAAGTTTCAGGCACAACATGGGTGAAATAATAGCTTCCAGGTGGTTCAGTGTGGCCAGTGTGAAGTTTCAGGCACAACATGGGTAGAATAGCAGCTTCCAGGTGGTTCAGCGTACCCAATGTGAAGCTTCAAGTGCAACATTGGTAGAAACATGACATCCAAATAGGTTTCAGGCAGTTCAATGTGCCCAGTGTGAAGTTTCATTCTCAGCAAATACCTTTCAGGTGGTTCAATGTGCCCAATGTGAAGTTTCATGCAAAACATTGGTAGACTAATAGCTTTCAGGCATTCCAATGAGCCCAATGTGAAGTTTCTTTCATAACATTGGTAGAAATATTATATCTAATTAGCTTCCAGGTGGTTCAATGTACCCAATGTGAAGTTTCATGCATAATATTGGTAGAAGTATTCTATCTAAATAGGTTTCAGGCGGTTCAATGAGCCCAATGTGAAGTTTATATTATTAGAAATATTCTATCTAAATACCTTTCAGGTGGTTTAGTGTACCCAATATTATGCGCAACATTGGTAGAAATATTATATGTAATTAGCTTCCAGGTGGTTCAATGTGCCCAATGTGAAGTCTCATGCTCAACATTGGTAGAATAATAGCTTTCAGGTGGTTCACTGTACCCAGAGTTAAACTTCATGCACAATATTGTTAGAAATTTTATATCTAATTAGCTTTCAGGCAGTTCAATGTGCCCAATGTGAAGTTTCATGCAAAATACTGTTAGAAATGTTATATCTGAATAGCTTTCAGGTGGTTCAGTGTACCCAATATTATGCACAACATTGTTAGAAATATTATATCTAATTAGCTTTCTGCTGGTTCAGTGTGCCCAGTGTGAAGTATCATGCTCAACACTGGTAGAAATATTATATTCAAATAGGTTTCAGGCAGTTCAGTGTGCCCAATGGGATGTTTTATTCGCAACATTGGTAGAATAATAGCTATCAGGCAGTTCAATACACTTAATGTGAAGTTTCATGCAAAAAAAAAATGGTAGAATCATAGCTTTTAGGTGGTTCAGTATGCCCAATGTTAAGTTTCATGTACAACACTGTTAAAATATTATATCCAAACAGCTTTCTGGTGGTTCAAATTGCCCAATGTTAAGTTTCATGTGCAGCATTGTTAGAAATATTGTATCCAAATAGCTTTCAGGTGGTTCAGTGTGCTCAATGTTAAGTTTCATGCACAACATCCTTAAAATACTATCTCCAAAAAGCTTTCAGGTGGTTCAGGTGGAATGTGTATCAGGTGTATATGACCTGTGGAATTTTAAAACACAATTAAAGTCCTATCTCTTCCAGCAGACCTATCCAGTCAGTTTTAAATAATCAATTTTAATGTTACATTGCATTAATACTATTGTATTTCTTTGTATTCGCCTTTTATCTCCCTAGAAGGAGACTTAAAGCAGCTAACAACACTGAAAACAGTAAAATATTAGTATTATATTTTAATCTGTGTACTATGTATTTTGATATTTGTTTTATACTATATTTTATCTGGATGTTTTAACTGTTTTGTGCCCAACACAACTATGGGGAGTTGAAGGAAACAAATAATGTTGTTATTTATTATTTGGGTGTGATCCTGGACTCATCGCTGAGCCTGGAACCCCAGGTTTCGGCGGTGACCAGGGGAGCATTCGCACAGTTAAAACTTGTGCGCCAACTGCGACCGTACCTTGGGAAGTCTGACTTGGCCACGGTAGTCCACGCTCTTGTTACATCCCGTCTTGACTACTGCAACGCTCTCTACGTGGGGTTGCCTTTGAAGACAGCCGGAAGCTCCAATTAGTCCAACGGGCGGCAGCCATGATTCTAACAGGAGCGGGGCGCAGGGAGCATACAACTCCTCTGCTGCACCAGCTCCACTGGCTGCCGATATGCTACCGGGCTCAATTCAAAGTGCTGGCGTTGGCCTTTAAAGCCCTAAACGGTTCTGGCCCAACTTATCTATCCGAACGTATCTCAGCCTATCAGCCCACCAGGACCCTAAGATCTTCTGGGGAGTCCCTGCTCTCTATCCCGCCGGCTTCACAAGTGCGGCTGGCGGGAACGAGAGACAGGGCCTTTTCTGTGGTGGCCCCTCGGCTTTGGAACACCCTCCCCATAGAGGTGTTTCGGAATAGATTGAAGACATGGATGTTTAAACAAGCATTCGGTTAATCCGTCGCAACGAATTTTGATGACTAAAGGATTGGTAATCATGGACGATGAATTTTGGACTGCGATTCCAGTTACGAGATGCATGGGATTATTATTGGTGGCCCAATAATTTGTATTGTATATGTGTTTTATGCTTTTAAACTGAATACTGTTTTTTAAGTGTTGTAAACCGCAATGAGTCGCCGACTTAGGCTGAGATATTAGCGGTATACAAGCGCATAAATAAATAAATAAATATAAATGATTTTTGAGTTCAGACTTGGATCAAAGATCTCTCATTATCTGACCCATTCAAAACAAACTCATAATCTGTTGCACCATAAAATGGGCGTGAGTCACTTTGAGTTAGATAGGAAAGCTTATCCATCTGCTGTATTACAGGTTGAGTATCTCTTATTTGAAATACTTGGGAGCTGGAGCATATTGGATTTTTTTTATTTTGGGATACCTATATTTTCATATACAGACATCATGGGATACCTTAAAGATAGGACCCAGGTTTAAACATGATATTATAATTTATGTTTCCTCACTACACACATAGCCTGAAGGTAATTTTATGTAATATTTTGGGCATGAGACAACTTTTATGTGCATTGAGCTACCAGAAAGCAAAAGTGTCACCATCTCAACCACCTGTGTTGAGAATTTTGGTACATTTTTATTATTTCAGAATTCTGGATAAGAGATGTCCAACCTACATATGGGATTTAATATGATGGAATAGGGCCCTTGATTTAGTTTGAGTGGCATTGATTTAAGTAGTTATTTAGCAGCTATTTAGATGAAATGAGAAGATCATATTATCCCTTCATCTCCCACCTTAATTCTCCAGTTGCAGTGTTATATGGCAGGAGAGCTAACTGGCTACACAGTTTATTTTGATTGAGGTTGCTCTGCAGAATGCCAGGTGCTGTAGGGTATACAGGTAGTGAGTTGCAAACCATGTCTATGCATTTCTTGCCTAAGAATACCCCATAAAATTCACAGGTCACCATATCTTGATAAATGACTTGAAGGCAAATGCCAGCTTTGCAGAAGTCTTGAAACACAGAGAAGTGGAGTGGGAGACTGACTCTGGCTTTCTGTTGCTGTCACAAAACATAAAATTGCACAAGTGCCAGCCTGAGGCAGGGGGAGATTTGACTCTGTCTGTCTTGGGAGTTGGGTGAAGTTGGTCCCATGGGTTAAGATGAGAAATGCTCTTTTTCTTGTGATCGAAAAGAAGATGGAGCAATGGCATGAAAGGAGGAGGGAAATAAGGAAACAGTATTGATGAATTGCATGGAGGCTGGGACCAGAGCAGTAGTTGATACCCTTCTCCTGTGTCTTTCGGAGGCCTGTGCCTTATCTGTAAACTAGATTGTCAGTCTTCATGCACATTTAGACTGTTAGCAGTGAGGTTTGATGCATATGAAGAGGAAAAAGTTCACATCAAGCATTTTTGTAGTAGTGTGAGCATGACTGTGTTGGAATACATGAGCAGAAAGGCAATTCCAAAGGTAGCTAGTCACATATTTTGGGAAGCTCGTGAGCAAGGAATTGATGTCATTGTCTTCTTCTGTTGTCTATTCCTAGTATGTGATATCTGGAGATTTGTTCCCATTGTGTGCTATTTGGAGAGTCTCTGTTCATGGAGGGTCAATTTCATTGTGAGTTAATATCTAGTGACTGAACCTCAGAATTTGCCTGCTCCTTCTTTCGACAAACAAGAAAGTGGTGGAGCAGGAATCTAGCAACAGTGCTTAGACTACTGAATCTTACAATCCACTTATTTGGATGCCTCATCTTCTATCTATATCTATACACATTATAAAAGAGAAAAATGTGCATGTCTGTATGTGGCAGAGGTGTTCACAGACAGCCTCACCTCCACAAGCAGGCCATAGTTCCAAGTGCTGAGAAGCCTCCAAAGGCATTCCCTCAACTGACATTGCAGGTTATAGCGAGCGCCATGAACATGTAGCCCAAACACTGCCAATGTCCTCCTCAAACACTACGGCCCAACACCCAAGGAATGCTTTCATTCATTCAATTTCATCCTTGATTTGATGTGTTTCTTCCACCACAGGCAGGCATCCCAGGGTTCCTTGTGTGGAATTTGCATGACCCCGCCCACTGCCTCTCCCTTAACTCTTTTCTCCCCTTTCCTATGGCACACAACAAACACAGAGGAATTGATCAGCAACTGAATGGACTGGACCAAGCTTGGCATAGAGAAGTCCCATGACCAGCTGAACATACTGCAGGGGTTTGGGGGAAATGACCTTGATTGGGGAGGTGTAGTTCACCTGCATCCCGAGAGCAGTCAACCCACCTGATGACGGATCTGGACCACACTTGGCACACAGACCCAACATAGCAAAGTGTAAATACTGGCTGGGTTTGGAGGTGATTGGCCTGGGAATCTGGGAGTTGTAATTCACCCTTACCCAGAGAG